TTCACGCCTATTCACGAAAGTAGTACGTTTGCCTAACAATTAGGTTCCCATATATTCATTTTACACATATAAATGCATATTTCGCTTGGACACGCATGTTAGTGGCACGCACGTGCAACATAACAAACATAGCCTTCATTAATTTAACACTTTTCGCAGTTGTCTGCAGTTATGAAATGGCACTGCGTGCTACAGCCACTCAGCGTTTGCCACTTGCGTCGACCTCATCAACAAAATAATAAGCAACAACAACATCAAAAATATTAGTGTTATCTTTGCCGGTTTTTATTCACCAGTTGCCTTTCTTCACTTTTTTTTTTGCAGAGCTCTTGAACTTAACCTACCACAAACACTTAACCCGTTGACGTGCGTTGATGTGCCGAAAGAGATTTTTCTAAAAAATTCCAACGCAGCAGCGACTTACCGATAGTGTAATCGCTCAACTTAGTGTCATGCAACGGGCAACATTTATGTATGCATACATTCATAAGCCATATACATACATATGTAACCATATCCGCGCGTTGCACGATAGTCAACATTTAATATGATTGATGTTTCCAAGGAATGGTGTTAACTTGCCAAGAGATATGAGTAACAACATAGAAACGATGCTGCATTCGCTACATTATAGCTATGGGTAGGTTGCAATTTTTTTCTTCTTTTTTCGCGTGCTGATTGGATAACAATTGGTAATTTTTTATACTAGAAGCAGCTTGGTTTCAAGACAGTGGTTATACGATTAAGCTTGGATGAATCACCCTGTAGAGCTTGGGTTAATCGCCCAATTCGCATTCTTGTTTGACGTTGTCAACGCCAATAATTTCACTTCTGTGTCAATTGACAATTGGAAGTGCCAAAAGAAGCTAAGTTCTCCTCCGCCTGGTCATTCAATGGCAGAGAAGGATTTTTTCATCGTCTGCTACCAACATCGGGCTCCGTTTCGAACACTTTAATTGCTGGTGAGTTTATGTCTATTGGACTTCATGGCAGAGCCACCGAAGCCGCTGTATCTTAATTTGCTGCACTAAGTTCATGTCGTCGCAAAGCTCACATAGCGCACTGTTTCATCGTCTGCAGCATATGCCATCGCTAACGCGTAAGAGCCCGTACATCTTCCTAAGAATCTTTACCTTCCGGTTAAGGCATTATACCACTCCTCTCCCCTGTCTAGACAACAAATTTTCCATAAGAATCCCAGAGAGAAACGAATGTGAAGGTGCGACACACCTAGACCAAGAGTCGACGCGTATATATCGAATGTTGACTGGAAGATCGACATATCTCGCCAGCCAGTTTGAAAACGCCCTATCCCAAAAAACTTTTCAAGAACGCCCTATTTCAGAATTTGGTTGAAAAACGCCCTATCTCAGAATTCGAATCGAAAATGGTCTATCTCACTTCAATAAATATTGAAAATGTGGTGATATAGATCGTTTTTGAAACGAATTCTGAAATAGGGCTTTTTATTTAACCAAATTCTGAAATAGTGCGTAATTGAAAAGTTTCTTGAGATAGGGCATTTTTGTTGAACTGGCTGCCGAGATAAGTCGATCTTCCACTCAACACTCCATATACAGATGTTTCCAAGCTATACGTTAAGTGGACAGTTGGACTTATTCCAGTAAAGTCGCATTTCCGCTTGCCGGACCATTGTAGTGATTTAAAGCAGGGCTAAAGATCATAATGGTAGCTATATATTTATGTATATGGGTCGTTTCCAAACGAAGTGCTATCTCCCCTCCCCCCCCCCCGACCCCCCCTTCCCCATCTTTTAAAATTATTTTATGGTGGTCAAAACGAAAAATCGAAAACAGCTTTGTACGATCCAAATAATAAGCCATCAACAAAGCTTTTTGTTTATTAATTTAAGCCGTTTTGTTTTCTTTTGCGAACAGTATTTCTTTGATAAATTTTCCTGTTTCCATATACAAATTTTTGTTCCCGCTCGGATTATTCGACATTCTTAACTTTTATTGTTTTATTGTATTTTCACCTGAAAAATTTGATCAACATAAACGTAGCGTTTTCTATTATAATATCGTCCCTCCAGTCACTTTTTTAATTTTTCTGTGATATTAACATTAATTGCTTCGCTTACCTAAGTACATTGCTGCTAAGAAGCCCAAAAATTTATTGATCGAATGGCATAAGAAATAATTTAATAAAAGCAACTAATTTCTGTTTTAAGTGAACTTTCATGAATGCCAGCCAGGTTTTTATGCAAATAATACTAAAAATAATTAGAAAATAATATATATAAAATAAAACTCTTAGAAAAAATATAAAAAAAGAATTTTTTGTTTAATTAGTTTATTTCTCGAAAAGTGTTCAAATGGCATACATATATATAGGAAATTGTTGTCGAAAAAAGAAAGATTAAACAAACAGTCTGCCTCCCAAGAAAAACTATACATGAAACCATTAAAAATAGCATGAAGAAGGTGGAAAAACTTCAATATTACTTTATGCGATAAATGAGAGTCAAAGAGTTTGAAAACCAGGCATTTCATGTTAAAAATCGATACCTTGCTTATCGGTTAGTCTACTTTTTCCAACAGTTTCTAAGCTTATTTAATCCCTTAGCTTACTTTTAAAAAAGTGAAATTCTGGAGAATATTTTATAAAATTGCAAAAATAAGAAAAAAGATATTATTTTTGAAGAGCCTGAAAGCAATTTCGTATTCTGCACGAATTTTCACGTCGGTAAACCATTTCAAAGGATAAATTTACCAATCTTAAAAAAATATAAAAATTACTTGCCATATACACTTTGTTTGGAAATTACCCATGTGCATATACATACTGCCTTCTCTCAGATCAGTTGTCGGGGCACTCACAGGACACTGCCTTATTGGAGCGCATGGAAAGAGGTTTGGATGTCCAACCAACGATATTTGTCACAGCTGCAGAGACGAGGAAAAGGTGGAGTATATCGAACACCATCGCTGCCACTGTGCCGCTCTAGCCAGGAGACGCAACCATCACCGTGTCCTACATAAAACCCCCTCGATGGTTCAATTTTTAAGTGACGGACCGGTTTCCGCCAGTGGTATTCGAAAGGGCTACGTGCTCCTCCGTGCTCATGCAATGCATACTTCCGCGCCATAGACAAAGCACTTGCCTGATTATTAACCTATATAGTGACGACTTAGTCCACACGTATGTATGTATATATATAGTGCCTACATTGTTATCGGTCGATGGTCTTTCCCACGATTTAGCCTATTGTGAATTCCTAGTATACCGTGGATTTACCAGGTCTAGAGCTACATTTACATAACTAACCGGTTCGTTCGTCGTTCGGTAGGTTCAGCCTTTCACGAAGAAAGATCCATTAGGAAAGCTGCAATCGCAGTATTTTCCGCATACTTTCTTGTAAATTGGACATAGAACAGTAAAATTTCAATAGTCAGACATGCTTTCAACTCTGCATAAAAGTGATACATATAACCTTCGTCGCTGTACTTGAAGATCTAATCTGGCCGGCCGTCAACGCCACCTGCTCACTTGATTAGTGCAAAAATTTAGTCTCAGCCCCATTTATCTCGTCAACCTCCATTGTGGCTCGGGTTCATCATCTAAACTTGTTTCAGTGATGTCACCATCCAAATTGGTTGTAAAGTGTTCCCTCCATAACACAAATAAGTTTTGGAGATCGGTCACGCTCTGCTCTTAAAACCTTAAGTAAGCCGCCTAAATTTTCGGGCTCTTCCTTGTGGGCAGCAGTTCAAACTTTTCATACTCTCGGCTTTTGCCTTCTCTCTTTTCAAAGCAGAAAATACATACCGCTCATCCTGAGTGCGGGTAGGTCCTTCTGCACTTGATCCTTGAATTTTGTAGCACGAACAGAAAAACTGATGTATACATATGTACATATGTATGTACATATTTTGGTGCATGTATTCCTATATATGTAGGTATGCATACAAATAAGTATGCAATCTTTCAAGTCAACTTGTCAATCATTCACTGTCAAATGTTCTGCATATGTAATTAAGTAGTCGCGATTTCTGTCGAATCAACAAATGTAGCCAAAAGGTCCGCTATTTTACAACGCTTTTATCAACTTGCAATGTTGTGTGTCCAGAAACCTTCAATGTTGTGGATCCAGAAACTTTCAATGTTGTGTGTCCGACACCATAAAACCTTTGCTTTGAAAAGTTCCTATAAAAAAGCATAGTGCATAGGGCGACATCTGTAGTGAATAGGGCGAGGTAGATGACATCTAGATGTCGCCCTATGTACTACGTTTGCTACAGCGGAAATAGACGACACGCCATTTCTTTAAATAAAATTAATTGGTGCTCGTTTGTATGTACATACATATGTAAATGCATGTGTGTGCACCTTTCTATTAATATCGTTGAATTATTTTAATATCTATTGCAAAATTTTATTCAGACAGGACTAAAAAGTAGAAAATAAATAATATAAAAAAAAACTTTTTAATATACAACGCTTTTATAAATGGACTAAAAAGTAGAAAATAATATTTCTCAGTCCCATAGAATTTGTTTTGATAACTTTTGATTTTGAAATTTTAGCAAAAGTCATTATAAGCAATCTATGAAATTGAAAATGAAAAGCGTGGGGCGCATGTAATACACTTGAATTGATATGAAAAATAATATATGTATGTATGTATGTGGGTATATGAATAACGACCGCTTAAAATCGATTTCAAAGTTCTACTTTCGCTGTAGAAATTTTAGGTCTACGTTATGTAGTTTGACTATTGTCAATTAAATCGAATGCTTTGTATTGCATGCGCTCCACGTTTTTCATTTTCAATTTCATAGATTGTTTATAATGACTTTTGCTAAAATTTCAAAATCAAAAGTTATCAAAACAAATTCTATGGGACTAAGAAATATTATTTTCTACTTTTTAGTCCATTTATAAAAGCGTTGTATATTAAAAAGTTTTTTTTATATTATTGTTTTTTTTCCAACAACTCACGGTCAGCGCAGTAAACGTAATTACAAGTAACCGTTTTGTGCGAAATTATTATATGTACATTTATTTAACTCAGACTTAAAACTTACAAACTAATTTAACAGGAAAAATATTTTATTATGTATGTATGTATGTAGTTATGTACAATGTGGCAAAGCATCTAAGCTTTTTGCCGCTCTAATAGGTGGGTTGCCAGTAGACGGTGGGTGTGACCTTGGACAAAGTGCCTTGATTGCTAATGTAGATACCACCGTTCTCATGCGACTCGACCACCTGTGCCAAATGTGCTCCACAAACTTCAGGTTTCTGTGTCTTGGTACCATTTAGCTCCTCACTGATTTTTTTTGAGTATTCGAAGGTGTATTTGCTACCAATATTGTTCTTCAGTGGAGTTTCTGTCAAACCGGGACAGAAAGTGACCACAGCTACGCCGGTGATTTTGTAGTAGTAAGGGTCCTAAGGTTACAATAAAAAGAAAATTAAATTACTGATATTCGCTATATTATACTACAGAATCGATTTTTTTATTTTTTTTTTGTGTGTTTTTTCAGAATTCTCACTTACCGAAATGGATCGCGAAAAGCCCATGACACCGAATTTGGACGCACAGTATACGGCAGCAGGTGGACAAGGCTCAAGACCTAGCACGGAAGCGATGTTTACGATTACACCACCACGTCCTTGCTTGTTCTTGTCCATAAAAGGTAATGCTTCGAAGGTGGTATTGATTAGGCCGATCAAGTTGATGTTCATTGTCAATTCAACATTGGGATCGGTTAAAATGCCAGCGCCGTTCACCAGCACATCAATGTACTTCGCCTTGGATACCACCTCGGCAATGGCGCTCTTAATTGACTCCTTTTTAGTGATGTCGAATTTGATGTAGTGAACTTTGGTTTTGGTGTTGAGTGCCTGCAGTGCCTTGATGTTGTCAGCATTTTCCAAAATGTCGAACACGAAGAAGTTCTGAGAGAAAGTAATTAAAAAAATTGCAATTCATTAATGTTTTAAGTAAAAATTATCAAACACACTTTCGGTGCAGAACACCCATGAATTTCATTTAGCTTTCTACTATACTCAACTTACAGCCATATTCTTGGGCATTAGCTTTTTGCAGCATTCGTAGCCAATAAAGCCCAGTCCACCGACAAAGATCACATTTTTACCGCTCAAAGGCATTTTTGTTCTGTATTTTTTTTTTTTGCTTTTTTCAATCCACTCAAATTGCTAAAGAACGTTTTACTTGCTAAGCTGCTATGCAACTAATGCCGTTTCCAATCGAGAGCCGCGCTTATATAGCTCATAATCTGGAATCAGTAGATAACACTAACGCTGACGCTGGAATAATAAATTGTCATGTCAAATGAGTTGAGTATTATTAGCTGATATGAGTATCAAATACAGCACGATTCCCGTCAAATCATCAAGCCGCGGCCAGAATAGATAGATGTGTTAGAGACAAGCGAACTATACCCTGCAAGAAATTTATCTAACTTAAAGTTAACTTGAAGTTGATTAGGAAGGAACTAAAGATCACTATTATCTGTATATTTTCTTTGAGGAAAACTAACTAGATGTATTTGTATGCAGGTGGCCGCGAAATAGTCAAGGGGTGTTAGCCCTGCATTAGATGTAAACTAACCTGTAGCTGACTACTGCACATAAAATATTAATAAGAAAAATGATATATATTTTATTTATTTAAATGTGTATGAATGGAATCCCGTCAGACATAACTTCAGAATGATAATACAAAATTTGGATCTTTATTTTATTTGTCTTAAATTCGAAAAGGTATCTGTGAAGGCCATGGGCAAAAATTAAGTACTTTCCCCTAAATGTTGTCAATAGTCAAACTACTCATTTATGCTGTACTACAAAAACAAAAGTGTAAATGTGTTCGAAGTTTTGCCTAAATTGCTCAGCAATGTCTTGTAGGGTATCTAAGTACAAGTAAATACATATTTATTTGTTGACACTACTTCTATGCAAAGTCAATGGCAAGTCCAGCTTTGCAATAGAACTTAGTCATGCTGCTAATGATAAGGGCAACTCACAACTACTGTCGCCTATTGGCAGCACAAGTCATGCTCGAATATTCCCTGCAAAAAATTGTGCAAGTAATCTCTAAAAAGTTTAGACTCGGATTAGTCTCCGCACAGTTGGGCATTATTTAGTATTACATAATACAATTGAAGTTTAAATAGTATCATCTCTTATAATTCACGATTCGATTCACTGAAGCAAATAATTTTCAAAGCTAACCTGAGCTCCCTGCTTCGAATGTCAGCTAGCGATAATTTTTATTTTTAAAATTCCATTAATAATTTTTCATGGCTGTAGATATCTATTAGGGTATAAAAAGGTCCAACGTGGTCCAAAGTGGAATTAGCTGCATATCTCTTTGCGACTCCCGGACTAATCGAATTTTTTGCAGGGTTGCTTTCGTACGTCAGAGATGGAAGTGCGAAAAAAATTGATGCTCGCAAAATTTTAATTTTTGTATGTCATCATTCATATGTTTTGAAACGATTTCTATTTGTTATCTCTTTTGTTAATTTTTCTTTTTTATAGGAACTAAGTACATATGTACATTTTGAATAAATAGAGGTGTTTCCAAAATGGCATAACTAAATAGTGCTGCCTTAAATCAGTGTAAGTATAAATTTATCTACCATTATGTAATAGATAACTGGAATAAAAATCGTTAGATATATTGTCTCCAGATGTTTTGGCGCTTTTGTAGATAGGCTACTCTCATTCCTTTGCTACTATAACAGAAGATATCTATAACTCAAGTGCTTAATTGACGTATTCGGGCCACACTAGGACTTACATTTGAGTATTTTTTAAGTGAAATTTTTATTAAGAATTTGTTTAACTTCTCTTTTAATGCTCAGCGTGCTTTTTATGAATAATATATTCCCACTTTAAGATATTCATTTAATATGTGGATCACTACTGAAATTGTTTAGAACCTTTTTGATTAAGGAAAACCATTTTTGATGCATTCTTTGCGAACAGCCAATTATACCGGCATACAAAAAAAGAGGTGTGTATTTTTAACCAGACCCACCCATCGACATGTATTTCGACCGGATAAATCCGAACCAGAGGCAAAAACTGCAAAATTAAAAGTAAATCAGAAAAACTTATATAATTCATGGTAACACCAAAAAAATGAAAGTAATTTAGCCCACCAAAATCGCCAATTACTTTTTTAAGGGGCAAACCATCGCGAGACTGTGTGTTTATTTAATATAAACAAAAAATAAGAACAGTTGTTTAATAAAATATTAGTTTATTTTTTGATCTTTATTAATTTAAAAAAAATGAACAAACCGACACCAAACTTTACAAAATTGGTAGCTGGTACTACACTTTCGGGTTTTACAAATTTGGTAACCCGTACAAAAGAGCCGATTTAATTTTTGAACTCACCATATTCAAAAAGTGGGCGTCACCACTCTGCTTTTCTGTAAACTGCTAACCGGTACTAAGTTCGAAATTCATAACCGGAAAAAAAATCCGATTGCGAAGCGATGCACCAATTGTCAATGGCTTTTAATTAATTAAAAATATTTCCAGATAAATTGAGAAATAGGAAATTTTTTTATCCTATGCCTAATTTTTCATAGCTATACCTAAAAATAGAGTCAGACGGACAGGGGTATTAAGAGTTTTGGATGAAGGGAGAGGGATTAACAACAGAAGAATACTTTTAAGGTGCCGAGAATCACGCAGGTATTTCCTAGTATGTATATTAGGGTGGTCCAAAAAAAAATAGTAAAACCCAAATTTTAATGCTCTCGCTCCTAGGATTCTTCTCTACCCAAAAAATATACCGCTATTTGTTTTGAAATAAAAAAAATTTGGAGCTCCGCCAAAGCGCCCAAAGTTTTCCATGTACATATTTTATATGGTGAAAGTTCTTCAAAATTTTTTAATATTAACCATTTTTAAAGGTCCCCAAAAAATGCAATGAGACCCTTAAAAAATCGTTACTATAACAAGTAAAAAAGTCTAAGTTCGGGCGGAGCCGAACATTAAATACCCGGCGCAAGTATTAAATATATGTTTTTCACCTTTCCGAAAGCTAACGCTACATGGTAAACCGAGGTGTATCCATTTTGAGTAAATTAGCGTCCTTAAATTTCGAAATATTTAAGTTGCAAGCATATCTGAAATTTACTGTTATATGAAAAGCGGCCGTAATTTTAGTTCGCTTTCAATAAGTTTCAACGTTTTGCTTCTATGTGGCAAGTACAATAACCACACCGAGTTTGGTACAAATTGGTAGAACGGTTACCGAGATACATATATGTGATCATAAGTGGGCGGTGCCACGCCCATTTTTCAAAATTGTATCCTAAACGTATTTCTTGGTAACGAATTGTTGCAAGCATCAATTTTGAATAAATTAGCTTCAATAATTACTGATTTATCGAAGATTTCGTATTTCTCTAAATTACCGTTATATGGGATTATTGTCCTATTTTAAAAATTTTCGGCCATTTCGTATGTTATACCAAGGTTAACAACTGTGCCAAGTTTGGAAGAAATTGGTGCAGCGGTTACCAAGATATACACATTCAAACATAACTGGGCGTGGCTACGCCCATTTTCCAAAAATTTATAATATTCTTATTTTTCGTCTAAAACTTATTGTAAATATCAATTTTGAGTGAATAATTTTCAGTAGTTACTAAAATATCGCAGTATTCGTATTTCTGAAAATTACCGTTATATGGGAAGTGGGCGTGGTTATTGTCCAATTTTTAAAATTTTCGGCCATTTGGTGTGCTGTACCAAGGCCAACAACTGTGCAAAGTTTGGAATAAATTGATGCAGCGGTTACCAAGATATACACATGTAA